CCCCCCCCCCCAATTGTAAAGTGGTTATCCCACTGGCTATAGGGTGAACGCACCAATTTGTGAGTCGCTCTGGCTAAGAGCGTCTGCTAAATGACGTTAATGTGCCCTTGAGCAAGGCACTTAACCCTAATTGCTCCTGTAAGTCGCTCTGGATAAGAGCATCTGCTAAATGACTAAAATGTAAATGTAAATGTAAACCACTCGAGTGTTACTTTAGCAGTATGCTTAGGGTCATTGTCCTGCTGGAAGGTGAACCTCCGTCCCAGTCTCAAATCTCAAGTCTCTGGAAGACTGAAACAGGTTTCTCTCAAGAATTCTGAGCAGTTTCCCAGTCCCTGCTGATGAAAAACATCCCCACAGCATGATGCTGCCACCACCATGCTTCACTGTAAGGATGGTGTTCTCGGGGTGATGAGAGGTGTTGGGTTTGCGCCAGACATAGCGTTTTCCTTGATGACCAGAAAGCTCAATTTTAGTCTCATCTGACCAGAGTACCTTCAGAGTCTCCCACATGGCTTTTGGCGAACACCAAACGTGTTTGCTTATTTTTTTCTTTAAGTAATGGCTTTTTTCTGGCCACTCTTCCGTAAAGCCCAGCTCTGTGGAGTGTACGGCTTAAAGTGGTCCTATGGACAGATACTCCAATCTCCGCTGTGGAGCTTTGCAGCTCCTTCAGGGTTATCTTTGGTCTCTTTGTTGCCTCTCTGATGCCCTCCTTGCCTGGTCCGTGAGTTTTGGTGGGCGGCCCTCTCTTGGCAAGTTTGTTGTGGTGCCATATTCTTTCAATTTTTTAATAATGGATTTAATGGTGCTCCGTGGGATGTTCAAAGCCCCTTGCTTAGTGGTGTTGCAGAGTCTGGGGCCTTTCAGAAAAGGTGTATATATACTGAGATCATGTGACAGATCATGTGACACAGATTGCACACAGGTGGACTTTATTTAACTAATTATGTGACTTTTGAAGGTAATTGGTTGCACCAGATCTTATTTAGGGGCTTCATAGCAAAGGGGGTGAATACATATGCACGCACCACTTTTTCGTTATTTATTTTTTTAGAATATTTTGAAACAAGTAATTTTTTTCATTTCACTTCACCAATTTGGACTATTTTGTGTATATCCATTACATGAAATCCAAATAAAAATCAATTTAAATTACAGGTTGTAATGCAACAAAATAGGAAAAACGCCAAGGGGGATGAACACTTTTGAACGGAACTGTCCACACACGGCATGGTTTTATTTCAGCTCCAAAACCCTACCCAATGAGCGCACAGATCTTACAGCACAGGTATAGGAATAGCTTTGTGAGATATGGTGATGGCGCCACCTCAGACTTCACTCTCCGAAGGGAGCTTCCACCGTGGGGCTTTAATACTGTAAAATATAGCTTGTGTGCTACAGTATTTCTTTACACTACACAGATGTAGAAGAGATAAATGATTAAGAGGATGAGCTTTCACAGTCAAATGGAGGTCCAAGTTGGAACAACATCTTGAGATTTGACTTTGGAAACTGTGCAAAGCAAACAAAATAAACCTTTTTAAAATGAAAAGGGTAATGGGATACTTGTCTAATTTGGCATGAGGAGATAGAAGCAGGATTTCTCTCAGGTAACGCAGCACATGAAAATCCCCAAAAATACCAACATGCGCTTGAATGGTTGAGTCAAACCAGCACAATCCCCATATTTCAATTTTCTATTGCACACGAACAAAGTGGAAAATCACAATACAGGTTGGTCCAACCTAAGTGACTGAAAAATAAGAAGATGACACTATTCTTGAATTTTAACAGAATTAAGAACTTCCAAAGACTTGATTTATGGCAACAAAACTGGATTTGAATACATATGTTTATCAGAATAAACATTTAGTTGTACACTTTAGTTCATGTACATCTTCACTGGGAGGTCCAGAGCACTACAACCGCTCTTAGTCAGTTTTGGCATGCATTATAAAAAAGGCTGGATGGAAAGAAATACAATCCAAGGACATCTTGGGGGCCACCAAAAGCGGCAAAGTCAAAGTGTTAATTTATGCTAAGATCCATCATGTTCTATCATTCAGTTTTCAGAGGTAACATTTAACCATAGTTCCATCATCACAGTCCCTTGCATCCCCCTCTTAGTCAGTTTTGGCATGCATTATAAAAAAGGCTGGATGGAAAGAAATACAATCCAAGGACATCTTGGGGGCCACCAAAAGCGGCAAAGTCAAAGTGTTAATTTATGCTAAGATCCATCATGTTCTATCATTCAGTTTTCAGAGGTAACATTTAACCATAGTTCCATCATCACAGTCCCTTGTAGTGTTAAAAAATACACTGCTTCAGATCAATCTGTTTTTAACCAGTTTTACATTTTGTTTTACAGCAATCTCATATTAGCATCCATGTACACTAGCAGTTCTGACTGCCACTGTCAGAATAGTTCAGTATTTAACACCAAACCCAAAAAATAATAATATATACACTTCAAAAAGGATATTATAGACAGAATTTAACAGCCATCAAAAATAACACCAAATAAAAGCACAAGGGCAGACTAAACATCAATTTATACAGATGACTTATTTAATTGCACAAACATGCATAAATATTCATTATTACAAAATGTACAAAAATACATGTACTCACTTTTTTTTGTGTTTAAATATACTCTGAACAGACAGATATTTTGGCAAAACTGGGTAATTAGAGGATGCATTCAAAAGTTAGAGGTTACAGACAGCTTCAGCCATCTTGGACAGGTTTACAGATCAGAGAGGAAGGAAAAGAAAGCCCAGTGCATACACTATCCATTCCGAACAACAACAAAAAAAACAGCAGAAAACGAGAGAAAATAAAAAGACTAAAAAAGTAACAAGACTACTTCACAGGTAACATGGTAAGCAACTCAAGCCAGGATAATCTTCACAGAAGCGAGACAAAAAAATTATGAAAACATACGTTAGGTGTCCACCGAGACCTTTCGCTATTATGACAACACAAGTGCTATGAAACGAGGACTCAACTTTTTGTTTTGCATTCTAATTCATGCCGGATACCTCAACATGCATATCGATTGATTGATTTTCTCAAGTCTCGCCCACCCTCCCTCCCACACCTAGGAGAGCAGCTAGATCGTTTTCTTCAGCATAGAGTTAGGTCCAATTCGAGTGAAGTCGGCTTGCACACAGTTTAAAAAAATAAGTGCAGAGGCTGTACTGTCAAAGGTCAAAAGGTCAGCCGTGGGGAGGCCTCACCTTTAGATTGTAGTCTGTAAGATGTTTCCATGGTCTCAATATCCTCCTCTCCCTTTTTCTGTGAGGAAAGCAACATCGGTAATGCACATTAATGTCCATTAAATAAACCAGATTTAAATTAAATTGTTGAGTTCAGAATACCTTTACTCTGCTCAGAGGAAAAAACTAAAACCTTCAGGTACTGAATGGCATCTGGGGAGAGCAAGAGTTAATGGATTAAAACATAACCATTAATTGTTTTGCAAGTCCATACAAATTAGCCAACTGAAGGCATCACGTGAAAGCTCAGGAAATAATGTCATGGGCTGAGTCTGAAAAGGCACCACATTCTCTATTGTGCACAAATTTTGACAGAGCCCTATGTAGGCCATAGTCAAAAGCAGTGCACTATATAAGTAATAGGGTTTCAGATGCAAACATGGTTAGCTAGGCTTCTTGGGGTGTGGCATACTTACTAAACACTTTTCAGAACTGACGGGATTTCCATCCTGGTTGTGAAGTTTCAGACGCGGATGGGTACCAACGCATCTGGGGAATACAAAGCAATCAGAGAGGGCACTCCAGCAGAAAAGCCCATGCTTGGGTCATGTTCAGTGTTGAGTGTTTCTTATTGAAAAAGGTAGTCCCTCCCTGTTTCTGTCAGTTTTCTTCCATTTGATGCACAATGGCTCAGCCGCGAAGAGGTAGGCCACACAAGCGCATAGCGCGTAAAAATGGTGTGTCCTCTGTTGCAACACTCACTACAGAGTTCCAAACTGCATCTGGAAGCAACGTCAGCACAATAACTGTTCGTCAGGAGCTTCATGAAATGGGTTTCCATGGCTGAGCAGCCGCACACAATTCCAAGTGTCAGCTGGAGTGGTGTAAAACTCGGCGCCATTGGACTCTGGAGCAGTGGAAATACGTTCTCTGGAGTGATGAATCACGCTTCACCATCTGGCAGTCCGACGGACGAATCTGGGTTTGGAGGATGCCAGGAGAACACTACCTGCCCCAATGCATAGTGCCAACTGTAAAGTTTGGTGTAGGAGGAATAATGGTCTTGGGCTGTTTTTCATGGTTCGGGCTAGGCCCCTTAGTTCCAGTGAAGGGAAATCTTAACACTACAACATACAATGACATTCTAGATGATTCTGTGCTTCCAACTTTGTGGCAACCGTTTGGGGAAGGCCCTTTCCTGTTTCAGCATGACAATGCCCCCGTGCACAAAGCAAGGTCAATACAGAAATGGTTTGTCGAGATACTGGCCTGCACAGAGCCCTGACCTCATCCCCATCGAACACCTTTGGAACGAATTGGATCGCTGACTACAAGCCAGGCCTAATCGCCCAACATCAGTGCCCGATCTCACTAATGCTCTTTTGGCTAAATGGAAGCAAGTCCCCGCAGCAATGTTCCAACATCTAGTGGAAATCCTTCCCAGAAGAGTGGAGGCTGTTATAGCAGCTGGGGGACCAAAACCATATTAATGCCATGATTTTGGAATGAGATGTTCGACGAGTGGGTGTCCAAATACCATGTAGTGTTTGTGCTGGGAGGCAGAACACGGTCAACCCCTTTACCTCTTTGACCTTTAGCACACATTGAGTTATTGCCATGGCAACTCGCATGAATGCCAGAGCCAGCCTATGGATTGGTCTGCCCAGAGGGTTGGTTCTCAGGACAACCAGTCACAGCCGATTAAAGGTTTAGAATGAACAGCATTAAACATGTACAGTCATACCACGCTAGTCACCAGAGTGATGGGCCACATTCTTATAGGGCCACATTCTTATACTATAAGAAAAATAGAAAATATGATAGAATGCATGATATTTTACTTGAGACAAAGCCTGATAAATGCCTCAAGATGCATATCCAGAGGCCTTGAAAGCAACTTAATTTCAAGCATCAGATGGGCAGCCGCTGATGGGGATCCTTAATAAATACAAATACACCAGAAACAATGTGAGACAACACCCTGTATTTAATGAGATCTCCCATAACTCCATGTCTCATAGGGTCAGAGTTAATTGTGAATAAAACAAAGCTCTAACTGAGCAGTGCTGTCAAGACTGTCCTTGATCGATACTCGTTTTAAGAGGTTATACAAACAGCAAAAACAGTGGAGGCTTGGCTAGCGTTTAACTGGACTTTATGGGCACCTGACCAATGTATAATCCAACCTGAGAGCCAATTAAAAACAGCTTCTCTCTGTTGTGATCTCTTAGCAACGATTCCCACACACAATTTTGAGGAATTTTACAATAGGAGTGAAGTGGACGGTGGTTGGACACATATTTTACGCCATTGCTGTGGTTTCTGACAGTATGCAAGGCAGGCATGTCTGTTGGCTTGGCACCAAGCCCCACACATGCACACAGAATGGATCCCCTTTGTAATGCTGACTGACAGTGTCAGGTTGTGTATCTTTAAGGATGTATAAGCACACTACTGGTGATTTGCCACATGCGCCGAATACAACAGGTTCAGACATTACAGTGAAATGCTTACTTACAAGCCCTTAACCAACATTGCAGTTTTAAGAAAAATAAGGCCAGTCGAGGCAATTGAGGTAATATGTACATGTGGGTAGAGTTAAAGTGACTATGCATAGAAAATGAACATAGAGTAGCAGCAGCGTAAAAGAGGGGGTGGGGTGGGGGGTGGGGTGGACAATACAAATAGTCCGGGTAGCCATGATTAGCTGTTCAGGAGTCTTATTGCTTTTGGGTAGAAGCTGTTAAGAAGCCTTTTTGACCTAGACTTGGCGCTCTGGTACCGCTTGCCGTGCGGTAGCAGAGAGAACAGTCAATGACTAGGGTGGCTGGAGTGTTTGACAATTTTGAGGGCCTTCCTCTGACACCGCCTGGTATAGAGGTCCTGGATCGCAGGAAGCTTGGCCTAATGATGTACTGGGCCGTACGCACTACCCTCTGTAGTGCCTTGCGGTTGGAGGCTGAGGAGTTGCCATAACAGGCAGTGATGCAACCAGTCAGGATGCTCTCGATGGTGCAGCTGTAGATATTTTTGAGGATCTGAGGACCCATGCCAAATCTTTTCAGTCTCCTGAGGGGGAATAGGCTTTGTCGTGCCCTCTTCACAACTGCCTTGGTGTGTTTGGACCATGATAGTTTGTTGGTGATTTGGACACCAAGGAACTTGAAGCTCTCAACCTGTTCCACTACAGCCCCATCGATGAGAATGGGGGCATGCTCAGTCCTCTTTTTTTTCCTGTAGTCCACATTCATCTCCTTTGTCTTGATCACGTTGAGGGAGAGGTTGTTATCCTGGCACCACACAGCCAGGTGTCTGACCTCCTCCCTATAGGCTGTCTCATTGTTGTCGGTGATCAGGCCTACCACTGTTGTGTCGTCGGCAAGCTTAATGATGGTGTTGGAGTCGTGCCTGGCCATGCAGTCATGGGTGAACAGGGAGTACAGGAGGGGACTGAGCACGCACCCCTGAGGGGCCCCCGTGTTGAGGATCAGTGTGGCAGATGTGTTGTTACCTACCCTTACCACCTGGGGGCAGCCCGTCAGGAAGTCCAGGTTCCAGTTGCAGAGGGCGGTGTTTAGTCCCAGGGTCCTTAGCTTAGTGATGAGCTTTGAGGGCACTATGGTGTTGTACGCTGAGCTATAGTCAATGAATAGCATTCTCACGTAGGTGTTCCTCTTGTCCAGGTGCGAAAGGGCAGTGTGGAGTGCAATAGAGATTGCATCATCTGTGGATCTGTTGGGGCGGTGTGCAAATTGGAGTGGGTCTAGGGTTTCTGGGATGATGGTGTTGATGTGAGCCATGACCAGCCTTTCAAATGATTGTTGTTCCATTTCAATCAGGTACAATCAATTTAGGATAATATTTTTTATTGTGATTGATCCCAATCCTGATGTACGTTGTGCGTTGTGTATCCATGCATGTTCCTGCTTGGTTTGTGATCATATGCTATACTGGGAGCAAGGCATGGTGAGTGAGTGAGAGAGAGTGAGAGAGTGGCTGAAGAGGCGGCAGACCCACCGGTTGGTCCCTCACCTGGGCATGGAGGGCTGCGGCGGCAGCGGCCGGGTAGGTGAAGGCGGCGTGGGGGAGCCCGGGGGCCAGCTCTGTGGTGTACAGGGGGTAAGGTGCCCACGCTTCGGGAGAGGCCGGGATCAGTGTTGTCAGGTCATCTATATGAAAAATGATATGCTCAAATACATACTCATAGTACAGTAGTAGTAGAAGTACTTCTACTTTATTGATCTCAACTTGGGAAATGAATTTAATGCCACAAGCACCAGCAATACACAATGTACAGAGACCGGACAAAAGTCATCAACATACACATGGACAATGTTAAAAGACACAAAGGGTAGTTGGATATGGGTCAAATGTAATGTCTACTGCTCTGAGTTGGGGAGGGGGGTCATGTTCACTAGGCCACAGGGTATCAAAAATGTTTTGGAAATTAAAAGGACAATTTCAGGTAGTATCTCACCATTTTAAAGCATGTTCTCCCTTTTGATGCCTATTAAACATGCCCCAGGACTACAGTCATGTTTAAAAAGTTGGAAAATGTCACTTTCCCTCCGGATTAGTGATTTAACAGAATATGATGCATGAAATCAAGTTCACCACCCAATTGCTTACACCTGTGCAATTATGTTAGATCAGTGATCCATGAAGAAGGGCAGAAGGATGTACTTACATTTACATTTTAGTCATTTAGCAGACACTCTTATCCAGAGCGACTTACAGTTAGTGAGTGCATACATTATTATTTTATTTTTTCATACTGGCCCCTCATGGGAATCAAACCCACAACCCTGGCGTTGCAAACGCCATGCTCTAACAACTGAGCTACATCCCTGCCGACCATTCCCTCCCCTACCCTGGATGACGCTGGGCCAATTGTGCGCCGTCCCATGGGTCTCCCGGTCACGGCCGGCTACAACAGAGCCTGGATTCGAACCAGGATCTCTAGTGGCACAGCTAGCACTGCGATGCAGTGCCTTAGACCACTGCGCCACTCGGGAGACTCAAAAACAGGGTCCATGTCCCGCTACTCTGAAGTGGCTCCTATCCCTGTGCCTTACTTCTCGATTAGTGGGGACCCGTCATGAAGGACAGGAGCCGATATTGTTTCAAGTGTGGATTTCACAGTGTTTTTGGGGGAGCAAAGTGCAGATGCATGTGTGTTTGTGTGTGTTTGATTAAAAACCCTGGAGCTGCAGACCAATCAGTGCCGACGAGGACCCCTCTGTAAGTCCTGGGTCCGGCAATCATGTTGAATTTAATTGGAAGTGGAACATTGTGCACTACATAGTTGTGCCTGACCAGCCTAGACAAACTACAGGGAACTGAAGAAAGCAACAGAACAGAAAAAAATATACTTGAGGTGTAGAGGGGAATTAGTTGATTCAGCATTGTCTGTAGGGTAGATTCTAGAAGGAAAGGGAAAGCAAGAAAGAAAAAGGGAGGGGGAAAGAGAGGACGGGAAAGGGTTAACCTATGTGCGCGTGGTGAGTGTTTCTAGGGTGCAGCCATACACTTACATGGGTCCCGTGCAATGAAGTGTGCTCCTAGAGCTGGGTGGATATTTGTGGGGTTCGGTGTGGCCATCAGCTTACTCTTTGCCATCTTCGTGTTGGCTTTAGCGAATTCTAAGCGCAGGGTCTGGGGACTCTCGGGGTCAAAACGGATCCCCTAGGGAGAGACGGGGAACACCGTAAGGGGAGTTGAGGGGACGGTGGAGGTGGGGGGAGGGACTATACTCTGCGAAGAGGTGCAAAGTGCTCTCTAGTATGTGCTCACATGCATGCGGGTAAACCCACTGTACCATGGTAACCCTTCACTAGAGCCCCATGAAGAAAGCACATGGGGAGAGTGGGAGGGGTGTGTAGCGCTTCTGAACAATATGGAAAGGGAGGGCTTTCGGGTTGACCTGACTACATTAGTTGAACCATAGAGGTCAAATATATCACAGCAAAACAGCCATCCTGTCGCATTTCAACTGCATTATGATAAGTAGACAATTGAGTCGTCTTCCTTAGTGGGCAGTTGGGACCCAACAATCTTGCATATTGAGGTCACGTTCAACATTCAGTTCTTATGTAGAGGTTGAAAATGACTAATAATTAAGTTGTAGCCCCCACGTCCGCCTACTGACGGCTGGATGGCTGCTTACGTTTAATGCGTTTTTCGCTGCTTCCGCGCCGGTCCGGTTGTCAAAGGAAACAAACCCGACAGGCTGGAAGAGAGAGAGAGAGAGAGAACAGAGCATCAGAGACAGTAAAGGGTAAGACAGATGGCCCTTAGGTTGGCTAAAGGGTATACTCTGTTACATTTCTATATTCAAACAACCTTAGTCTGTTAGTCGTAGTAATTAAGTAATAACCAAAGAAAAAATATAATATTTAGAGTAAAACATAATTTTAAAGGTCTGAAATGGCAAGTCTACGATATGTACAAACAATTGCAAGCATCCTGACCATCCTGACTTACCTTGTACCTCTCATACCTTGGATATGGACATAATCTCACCTGCTTTGATGTCAACTTGATGAGGGACCCTTCATAACCCTGCAAATGCAAGTCAAACCCCAAAACGGCTTGTAAGTCACCATAGAAATAGCAAGAAGGTAGTACAATATGAACACCAAGCTTGACAAGATGGACACTTATTGAGCATGTCAATAAGGTGCGTTAGGAAAAAAAGATACACTAAACAAATCGTTCACTGACATTTCTTGACAATAAGAGATGATGGTCTACCTTGAATGGTCTGAAGAGTAGGTAGAGTTCCCTTGGCTTGATGTCAACAGGAAGGCCGCTGACAAAAAGTGTTCGTACCTTGAAACGAAAAAATGCAGACTTTGAGATGCATGCTACTAAAAAGGTCCAATTAGGTTAAGATAGTAGGGCATTAAAACCCAATTTTATTCAAATGTGAGAGAAGACTGGTTAGTTTATATAGACCGTAGTTATTTAGTCAAGAATGTCCTTTAAAATGTATTTGTTTCGCCCAATATGAGGTCAAATCAAAGTTTATTACGTACACAGATTTGCAGATGTTATCGCAGGTGCAGCTAAATGCTTTTGTTTCTAGCTCCAATACCTAGCAATACAAAACAATACACACATAATCCATAAAGTAAAAAATTAAGAAATTAGGAAATATCAGAACGAGCAATGTCAGAGTCCAAAATATAAATATATATATAATGGTGTGTATAGACAGTACGGACAGTATTAATAGAAAAGGTGTGTACTGCACTAGTTATATAGAATGACCCATGACTAGAATACAGTATATACATACAAAGTGGGTAAAAAAGTATATAAACATTATTAAAAAGTGACCAGTGTTCAATGACTATGTACATAGGGCAGCAGTCTCTAAGGTGCAGGGTAGAGTACCGCGTGTAGCCGGCTAGTAACAGTGACTAAGTTCAGGGCAGGGTTCTGGGCAGAGGCCGGCTTGTGGTGACTGTTTAGATAGAAGCTGTTTCTTGATAAAAAATAGTATAACAAAAATGATAACAATGACAGCCTGATTCAAATATTAATTCAGAATGATTCCATTATGACCAACGTGATGGCATGTGCTACCCAAATCCGCCTCAAAATGCCCACAGACAACGTGCCTGCTAGAATGCGCAGAACCGCAGCCCTCTATCGCCACACAATGGAGACCAAAGTCGTGACACCCGAAGCAGGAGAACTCAGGTGGATTTGCAAATTATTTTACGCAGTGGATCTGGTGTAATCAGAAGTGGAGAGAAGATTCGACCAGGAAGGGCTAGGAAGCACAACTCAACTGGATGCACAGTCCTTTGACCAACAAGCTCTGTCTCACTGCAGCGTTAAACGTTCATCCACGTTCTCCAAAGTTGCTCCAAACATCAAATTTCATGTTTTTGTTGCTCCTGCTCTGTATCGTTCAATTTTTCCAAGCGTCAAATTAAGGTTTGAGTTTAGGCACTCATTACGAATGGTTAAGGTTTGGGATAGGGTTAAAACGCCCCCCCAAAAACAATGTCCATGACTGGGATCAAATACGTAACCTTTTCATCCAGATTCATGGGATTACGTCTATCCAGGTTGCTTCAACTCTGGCCCAACTTCACCCACAAACGAGAGGTCTCTTCAGAGAAGAAACCCTTATCAAACGGTGTCCCTGTCTTCTCGGAGAGGACGTTCTCCACCCTTCGCCGCCTTTTACATTCCTAAAACAATCTTTCCAACGACATCCTTGTCAGATTGGCATACAGAAGGAGGCAAATTCATACATCTCAGATTTTTTTAAATAAAGATGAGCATTATATTGTTAGATTATACGAGTAACTCTGATAGGCCTAAAACATTCTTCCTCACCTCAAGTTCAACTGTCAGAGTCAGGTAGAGCAGGGTTTCCCAAACTCGGTCCCCCTCGAGATATAATGGGACCCAGCAGTCTAACTTAGGAGAGTTCGAGCGCATAAGAGAGCAGCCAGAGATACAAATATGGTGCAAAATTACGGTTTTTATTTACACTGCACTCCAGTGAAAATAGTGCAGGTGAATAGTTCCAGAAATGGCACGGAATGAATCCAAAAAATAACGTTCAGGTAAGTTGTCGAACAAATGGACAAAAATGACAAACAGCAAAACAAAATCAGTAGCAAAAAGAAGCAACCAAATAGCTACAAAAGGAAGACCGCTTATAAAGCATGTAACAGGCTATAGAAAAACTCTGCGAATTTGTTGGAGAACTAAGTAACACATGTTACCTCAGACAGCTCTACAGATTATGACAAAGAACGGGCATATACTGTATATACCCACAGTATCAAGAGCACCCAATTTAGGGGAAACCATACCAATGCGCACTTTCAACAGGCGCATCAATTGATCATTGTTTTAGACTAACGTAGACACAGGGAGTCTGGAAGCAAGTGCAGCGTGAGTTTAATGAAAAAGAACATGGAATGAATACAAAACAAGAGAAGCTAAGTCTAACAAGGAAAACATAACCAATTCTACCTGAAGAGTGACGCTAGGGAGTGCTGGATAAAGGGGGAGTAATCAGGGTAGTGCTGGTGTCCAGGTGTGCCTCATGAGGCACAGGTGTGCGTAATGAGAGTTGCCAGGTGTGCGTAATGGTGGGTTGCCAGGACCGGTGGTTAGTAAACTGCCGACGCCGAGCGCCGGAGAGGGGGAGTAGACATGACAGAATGTCGTCCAACGGAAAACACCACTCCTCTGGACCGTACCCCATCCAGGCCACCCCACCAGGTACTGGAGCCGACCCCCACGACGTTGGGAGACCAGAAGGGATACGACGGTATAGGCGGGACCTCCCTCGACGTCCAGGGGAGGCGGAGGGGTGTCGTGGGGGACGGCCTCAGCAAGAGACCAGGAACCACCGGCCTGAGGGAGACTCGGTAGTTAGTGGGGAGCTGTAATCTATATGTCACCTCGTTGACCCTCCGGAGAACCTTGAACGGCCCCACAAACCGGGGACTCAGCTTCTTACAGGGCAGGTGGAGTGGGAGGTTCCTGGTGGAGAGCCAGATGCGATCCCCAGGATGGATCACAGGAGCCCCACTGCGGTGGCGATCCACCTGCTCCTTCTGGCGGCGGATGGTGCGCTGGAGCCTCATGTGGGCATCGTTCCAAACTTCTTCTGTGCGCCTGAACCACTCATCCACCGCAGGAGCTTCGGTCTGGCTTGGGGTTCATGGAGCCAAGGCCGGCTGACAACCTAGAACACACTGGAAGGGAGTCAGCCCGGTGAAGGAGTGACGCAATGAATTCTGGGCATACTCCGTCCAGGGAAGGAATCGGGCCCACTCCCCTTGCCGGTCCTGGCAGTGACTCCTCAGGAACCTCCCCAGCTCCATCCTTTCCACCTGCCCATTAGACTGAGGCCGGTACCCAGAAGTAACGCTGACATTGACCCACAGCTTCTCCATGAAGACTTTCCATACCCGTGACGTGAATTGGGGGCCACGGTCGGAGACGATGTCCTCCGGAAGGCCATAGTGCTGGAAGACCTGCTGGAACAGTGCCTCAGCGACCTGGAGAGTGGTAGGGAGACCAGAGAGGGGGATAAAACGGCAGGATTGAGAGAATCTGTCCACAACCACCAAAATGGTGGTGAAACCAGAGGAGGGGAGATCAGGGACAAAGTCTATGGACAGATGTGACCAAGGCCGCTGAGGCACGGGAAGGGGAAGTAGTTTAGAGGGCTTGTGGTAGAGGGCCCTCTGCTATTTGAAAGTGAATCCTCTTGAGTGTTGTCGAGGTGGTGGAGGACCTCATCCATAGTCGCACACAGTTGCACCAGCTGATCGTGGTGTTGGTGGAGTAGGTGTCCCTGTTCGCGGACCGTCTGGTGTATAGGTATGTCTCTCTTCTGCTGCTTCCATATTTTTGAGGTAGTATTCTGTTACGTAGACACAGGGAGTCTGGAAGCAAGTGCAGTGTGAGTTTAATGAAAAAGAACATGGAACGAATACAAAACAAGAGACGCGTCTAACAAGGAAAACATAAACAATACTACCTGAAGAGTGATGCTAGGGAGTGCTAGATAAAGGGGGAGTAATCAGGGTAGTGATGGAGTCCAGGTGTGCCTCATGAGTCGCAGGGGTGCGTAATGAGGGTTGCCAGGGGTGCGTAATGAGGGTTGCCAGATGTGCGTAATGATGGGTTGCCAGGACCGGTGGTTAGTAAACCGGCGATGTCGAGCACCAGAGAGGGGGAGCGGGAATAGACAATGAAAGGAAATCAAATAGACAGACTTCGACACACTAAACACACCAAAATTGCTCCAGTTACTGGCTAAGCAATACAATTAATAGTTTCAGAAATATAATAATTAATCAGAGGGGGAACTAACCAATGCAATGACAAATTGCGTAATATGCAGGGAGGGGGGATGGGCGTGCGTTCTAGAAACACTGCGCGCCCGACACCGACAGAGCTCTCAAACAAACAGCTATTGTAATTCATGAAACTCGTAAAATAAAGCACATTATTTTATAAACAAATGAAATAATCCTTGAGTCTGTATTGCCGTTAGCAGTACAAACAAATGGTGCACTCAATGTTAATGCAAAAGCAGTAATGGAGTTTAGACATTTACATTTTTTAAATTGCCGCACATGGGGAATGGAGAACGGTGGTTTGACATGATGAGAGAGCAGTAGAGAGCTGCATCATCGCACAAGCCATTGTTTATAGGGAAAATACGAGCAGGATATTATTTAAGTGATAATGCCCGAGAAGCTGTTGTTTGAAGGATATATTGGCATGGGTGTTGTTAGGCCCGAGACGAAATCCAAACACCGCCTTCAAGGGCATTATCACTTTTATACAACGGGTTACCAACATATTCAAATAATGATTGACATATTTTCATTAAAAACGTTATTTTGATAAATCTATTCATACCATTTCATCCTTCCACAAGATATAGTCCCGACACTAATCTAGAGTTGCTACCCAAACCGGCTGGTCGTTCATTCTATAGGTTCAGTTACCAGAGACGTGACCCAGTCTTTCAGTCTATTTGTTCTGTATCTATGGACAGATACAGTCGTTCGTTCTAAATGTTCCATTGCCATACTGGCTGGCAACATTCTTATCCCTTGCTTGCTAGCTAGACAACTATGGCTAACTTACAGTCACGTTAAAAAGAATAACAGCAAAGTAGCTGCATTTGCTTTAGCTGTTTTCTAGTGACATTTACTTGGATACATCCATAACAATGAGCTAATGAGGCGCAATTTTGCCTGGCATAGAAAATGTGCTCACTCATCAGGACACTGTAATTCAGAGGAGCTAGCCAACAACACAGCTACAGTGAC